GTCGATATGATTTTTTGTTCTGGGTCTTTGATGTCATACCTGATCCCACAGACACCTCAGGATCACACAGGCTGTGCGCTTCTTCCATGTGGGCTTTGTTGCTTCTCGGCTAGATGGCCACTTGTTTATCTTCAAGCCTTTAAGACCCCAGGCGCTATATCTTTTGATAGCTGAGCACCATCGGCTTTCTTCACCATAATTGCTTATGCACCCACTTTGTCTTCAGCGTTTGTGTCAGAAAGGTGAGCATCACAGAATGCCAGGTTATTAGAACAAAGCGTTCTTGTGTTGAGGGAGTACTTGAATAGAAGCCCAATGTCTGTCTGCTGCCTTAATACTTAACATATAAATATATGTACATAGATCTATTTCCCTATCATTGCATATAAATACATTTACATATGTACATGCCTGTTATTTAGACTTATATAAATGTCCTTTATCTCCTAGTTTTTTTCTCTATTTCCGCTTACTTTGCTCTTGTCCCACTATCATGTTCAGCCTTCATTTGGATTTCAGTAATTCCTCTTCCCTACATTGTCCTTGATCAAGCCCTACCAGGCATCCTATACCCTCCTCCCCATTGATTTTAGATCACTTGTTGTTCCCTTGTCCCTGGGTTTAGGTGTCATTGAGTGGGTTCCATCTCATAGCTAATAGAATGACACATAATTTAGGGGGGCATAATTCAATCAATGACAATGGAATATCCAATATTCTCTACCAACAGCATAACTCAAATAACATTACATCTTCGTACGACCTTTGTTATTAATGACAGATTTTACATGAAAACTAGGTGACTGAAAATACCATGATTTAGGTCAAGCACATCTTAGCTCAAAGTGACATCATTGTTTCTTTAAATTGTTTCTTCCATTTTTTGGGTAGCAGATTTGCCCAATGCAATACACTGATAAGTTTCTTGACTGATACTTCCATGATGCAGATTGTGGGCCCAAGTAAAATTAAATTCTTGAAAATATTAATATTTTCCATGTTTCTTATAATTGTCCTGATTGGTCTAATTATAATAACTTTTGTTTTCTTTATGTTGAGGTGAAATCCATATCGAAGGCTATCGTATTCGATTTTCATCAGTTTTTCAAGTTTTCTTTTTTTTCAGCAATCAAGTTGTATATCTATATATCAAATGTTAGAAAAATATTAAAATCAAGTTCAGTTTCTCCAATTTGACACCATGATCTTCTTCATTCAGCTCTTCAAATTGTTTGCTCACCATATGGACTGAGTAAGTATAGTGGAAGGATACAACCCTGTTACACTTTTTTTCTTGATTGTAAGCCACATAATAGTCCTTTGTCCTGTTCAAATGGTTGTCTCTTGTTATATGTGTGGGTTCTGTTTGAACACAATTAAGTGTTGTAGAATTCCCATTCTTTACAATGTTACTCACAATTTTTTATGATACACATAGTCAAACACCTTTCCACAGTAAATAAAATACACTCACCAAGTTTCTGTTATTCTCTATTTTCAGCCAAGATTCATCTGACAAAATTTATATCCCTCACCCCATGATATCTTTTGAATTTGGCATGGATTTTTGGCTGTTATCTATTGATATACTGCTGCAAATATTTTTACATTTTACTTGAATGTGGTATTAAATATTTTGTTGGATAATTTTTACATGCTGCTAAATAACCTTTCCTTAGAGTAGACATATCTTTGGCTGGTTTCTCCACTGAATTAATATCAGTTAAATTTGTGTGTTTGTGTTTGTCTGTGTGTGTATGTATGTGTGTGTGTATGGGAGAGAGAGAGATTCAAAAAGTTTGACAAATTTCATTTTTTAAATTACATTTTCTACAAACTTTTTACAGCCCCTGTGTGTGTGTATTGGTATACACAAATATACATATAACAACACAAGGAAGAAATATTATAATCCATAGGAGTCTTAGTCTTTCCAACTGCTTATATGTTTAGAATGTGTATTAGAGCTATATTCTTTCACCATTCATTTTGTTTTTACTTTGCCCTCAACAAACATCTCAGCTAGCTGCAGTTGTTTGCCTATTGGAGTAACCCAAAAATATCATTCCCGATGGGTTCAGGCATTAGCTTACTGGCATTGGCTTGCTGGAGTTGTCTATTAAATTTGATCACAAGGTATGGTAGTACTAAGATGAATGAAGAGATCACCTGTATTCCAGACATGTTCTTCTAAAGAATATGCTATATAACATATTCTTACATAACATCAATCCATTTCTCCTTGGTAATAAGGTAAAGCAGAACAATCAATCCAGAAACTACCTCCTCTGCCTATTGGTACAGAAACATGAGGAGCCCAAAGTGGGGGAGTTGCATTCTTGAATTCCAGTTAGATGGAGTCAGTAGTGTGTCTTCTGTCTTCTGGTGGGAGTATTCTTCCCTTTGGAACTCAGAACTCTAGACTAACAGACTGAGCAAAAGTTTTGAATGGGCCATTAGGAAGTAATAGTGAGTGGTCCCACTTCCATCTATTTTCCTTGCTTCCTGGATCCATGAATCTGAACTATGGGATCATAGCTAGACTCATATATTAGGCCCAGTTTAGAGGATCTACGCGTTCCTGAAGAACACTGCTCCCACCATGCAAGGAATTACCGTCTATCTGGTAAAGTAATTGTGCCTTTAGGATATTATTTCTTAATTCTATCAAGTAGCTGCTTCAGGATGATGAGGAACATATTATGACCAGTGGATTCTATGAGCCTGGGCCCATGTCAGTATACTCACACTGATGCACATTTATGTTTTTTGTATCATTATTGCAAACCTTTAGTAGCCATTCCCACATCTATTCAAAACATCTCAGTTTGTGTGCACTAGAAAACAGAGACGGAATTCTTGAAGTACAGAGTATTTCCTGCTTGGTCACACTTTGTGCTTAATCTTTTAGAGTTTTCTGGCACTTAAATTTAGTTATAGATCTACAAGAAAAAACCAACAACATCAAACCAAATGCCTAGGGGCAAGAGGGTCTTGGAAATATTCAGCAATGTCTTGTAAGACATCTGTTTTAGGAAATGTCCCTAGTAATACTCCAGGCAATACTCCAAGGACAACCACAGGATCTATGTCAGGCAGTCTTTCCTGGCATAGCTAGATGAACCTCATCAGGTGAGAATAGAAGGGATATTGGTTTTACTGGGGAGGATGGCTTCGTAGACAAAGATGGAGCAAACCTTTCAGAAGGCTGTAAGAGGACTCCCTGGACAGGACTGGTTCACAAGAATGTAAAGGCTCCATTGTCCCCCAACTCTAGATTATCTGCCCACATGTCTCCAACTCAAGTGTCAGAACCTCCGTTCTTCCCATTCAGTGTTGTCACTTCATCTTCAGACACGCTTTGAGTTTGGGAAGTCAATGGATGTTGGAAGTCAGCCACTCTTAACGTAAGAGTCTGAATTTAGTTTTCTGTCAGAACAGATCTGGTACTGCAGGAAAGAAGGCTTTCTTCCAGGACACAAACATCAACTGTGAGGTGTGTTTATGTGGTCCATTAGTTCTGACTCTAAAACTTGAGTAAATGTCTTTCTTTCACCACTGTGGAAGAATTAGGATTGTGCTGCAGTGACTTATTTAATATGCTTCTTCTAGTGGTAGTCTTATAATTCCTATCAGAATGACTGAGTGGGACTGTACACATGTGAGGTTTATGGCCCACCAATGGGCTTGCATCACTTGTTAATAATGTGAACCAGGTACATGGCACCTATGTGAGATGGGACCATTCAGAGCCATCCAGTTGGCTCCAATCCATAGCATCTCCATGTACAACAGAATGAAACACCACCCAGTCCCGCTCCATCCTCACAAGGATTATGTTTGAGGTGACTGTCACAGCCACAGTGTCAATTCATTTCATTGAGGGTCTTCCTTTTGTTCAATGCTGCTCTACCTGACCAGTCATGGTGTCTTTTTCCAAATCAGAATTTATTCATATTTATGTTCAATTTAGTATCTTCCAATGCCTTGAAAGGCCTGCTCATTGAAATCATCTGTTTCCTTTTATTACCTCAAAATAGAGAACTACATTCTATACATGTGGGGAAAATGTGCACTTTTTTATAAGTTTAATGACAAAACATCAGTATATTTTCAAAGTTATAACTTGCCATTTTTCCCACTTTTCTTTTCTCATTTCACCTTATGTCAATATTAAGAAACCTATTCTATACCATAAATGCCAGAAAATACTTTATCAAACGATGAAGATAAAAATTTTAAGATTATCACATGAGCAGACGCTCTATGATAACTCCCTTAATTAGAAGAACAATTATGTCTAGAAGTTTTAATAGAAAAAGCAACAAAACTTGGGTGGTGAATAAATGATTAAAAATTAAACAAAACAGAATGTAAACATTAAAGGAATTTCACTTAAAGTCTCAGAAAAGTGTTTTAGCACCATAACACATTAAAAAACTTAGTTTGCCTGGGAGATGTTGATACATAAAGTCTTAGCCATTTTATAGATGAAAATCAGGGCCCTTAAATAATGAATATCTCAGTGGTAAAACCAAGAAAATCCTTTCCTTTTCTATCATATGTCTTCTTTGCACTTAACCTATTACTAGATACATAAATCTTGGCATGCACATGGGATTCACATCCTCTTTCTTCATTAAAGTAGGATAAATCCAAGAGAGAAGCAGTTTGCCAGACTGAAAGAGAGAAGCAGAGCTTTGGAGTAGAATTCGCATCTGGATTCTGGTTCTTTGTCTCTAACTAGTTGGGCAATCTTGGTTCTATTCTCTGTAAACCTGGATTCAGATGGAGAATATAAGAAAGTATTTCCAACCACATTGCAAACATTTACGCTGTGGAGAGTTCGGTCCTATCCTGGATTCATAAGTGCCTTCTAATCTTCCTCTGCTGAACACACTGAATATCTTCTGAATGCCCATGACTTTTCAAAAAGAGTGGTTAGAGAGATGCATATAGCACTGCCCATGGGAAAAAGGGGTGAAGTCCAAGCCACTTACCCACATGGGGTCACTCAGTTCTGAGTCCTGCATGCGGATACAGTCCATGCTAATTTCGATCTTGTTTGTTGCACCATTTTCTGATGGTTCATCCACAAAGTTCAAGTCAATGGGCTGAACCGAGCATATAGGTCTACAAATAATGGTAAAACAGTTGTTAGGCAGGGAAAAATCAATGCAGCCTTCTCATCAAATTACAGCCATCTCTGTTTCAAAGTTGGCAAGGCACATTGCTTCGAGTTAGAAACCTCCGGCCAACTCCTTAGCTATTTAGGGGTCATACTCCCTGCCCTCACAGGGAAGAGATGGGTGGTCAATACTGTGCACTCACTGCCATCGGGTTGTTTCCCACGCTTAGTGACCCAAGAGCCAGAGTAGAGCGGTGGTTTTTGAGGCTGTGAATCTTTAGGGAAGCAGGACACCTCATCTCTCTCCCCTGTGGGAACTGGTGGTTTCAAACCGCTGACCTTGCAGTTGGCAATCAAACTCATGACTCGTCGGAGACAGTGGATGTAACAGTGATAGGATATTTTATACCCTATTCCTAGTGCTTCTGTTGCCCTAATATTCTTTTCACTTTCTTCCTAATTTATATACTTACATACTTATTCAAAGCTACTCTTAGAGAATGTTGTAATATTTTTTTTCACAGTGAAGTATAGATGACCAAAAACAATGTAGTATCTTGCCATCTTGAGAGGTGCTTGTATTGTAGCAGTGAACTTGGTCATTGTTGTTAGGTATCAGTGAGTCCATTTTTAAACTCATATTTACTCATGACAGAACAGAACTGCTCTATAGGATTTTCTAAGCTGAAATCGTTATAGGAACATATCACACAGTCTTTCTCTGCATTCAAACCACTAACTTCTTTATTAGTAGTCAAGCACTTCGCCATTGCATGGGCAGGGTTCCTTGCAGCAGTGAATAGGAGCCAAAGCCCTGAGACTAAAGCCCGTTGTCAACTCTTCACTCTGCAACTGACCTCAACCCTGTGATGTAATTTTCAGCCAGACAACAGACAGGTCTGGGAAGGAATAACATGAAGGAGAACACATACTTTAGAGCCGTGGTTCTCAACCTTCCTAATGCCACGACCCTTTAATGCAGTTCCTCATGTGGTGACGCCCCAACCATGAAATTATTTTTGTTGCTACTTCCTAACTGTAATGTTGCTACTGTTATGAATCGGGTGACCCCCGTGAAAGGGTCTTTAGAGTATTAAACCCAAAGAGAAGCATTTGTCCAAGGACAAAGTTCAGAAGGGCTAGGAATGAAAGAGGAATGGTAACAGGAAACAGGGAGGATGTAGGATAAATGATGGTTACAATGAATGAGATGAAACAAAATGTTTGATTATTGAATGGAAAACAAATCAGTTTTTTAACCTTTTAACCAACTCATTAATTAAACGTCACAAAGCAAAGGAATACCTTTGGAGTTATCAGAGGGTCATTGGAGACAGGAAGCTCCTCCAAACTCAAAACCAAAGACTAATCCCTGCCATCGAGTCCATTTTGGCTTTGGATGACAAGAGCCCCCGACTCCCACCCACCCACTCTCTCACTGTCACTGACAGTGGGTGTCCACTTATTCCCACCAAAGGCACACCATACAGATCATGTGACCCTGTTGTGTGAACCTAAATGGATCGCCCGTGGATTTTGAAAACAGCATTACTTTCAAAGATATTTTCCCCAACATTTACTGTTTTCTATTGATTTGAGACACAGACCCTAGTCCATAATATTTTGAAGACACATTTATTCCTTTACCATCATTCCAGTACAACATTTCTTGCTTGATACTTACTGTTCCAGAAAATCCCAGATATGCTGGAAAACTTCGGGACTGAGGAACTCACTTGTCTGTGTGCTCTGGGACATGGTGGATCGGTAGTAACTTTCTTTCCAAGAGAAATGAGCTGGGGTTTCTACGAACCTTCAAAGGACAAAAGTAAAACTAAGATGATAGTTTCTGTAGGTAAGGGACTCAGTATTTAAACAAAACCACACACCAAAAAAATAATCAACCAAATCTTTAAAATCATGCAGACGTGTAGAGTGACTTTATAAGTTGTACAACTGGGTTCTCTATTTTTGGAGAGCCATGTTGTGGATGCCATTTTGCTATGAAACCAGACAGACCCATGCTAGACAATCAAGTCTTCTATCCAAGCCCATCCCTCCAACCACACAATGCTGTTGGTCCACTGCCGCTCTCCAACATCTGGGAGCCACAGATTTCAAAAAGAAAATAAACAGTCTCTCATTAAGCCTGGCAGCAAGTCCGACCTATTGTTTAATTATTTTATAGTGTCTCAACTGATTCTCTGCTTATTCCGCGCCAGCGGGCAAGAAGTGGAATCAGAAAACAGAGAGGAGATCAGGAAATTTAAGATCTGCCCTCAGATTGATCACCCTTCTTGGAACTGCCTTCTAAACACCATACACAGGCGGCGACAAAGTAAAGCGACTGGATTTTTTTTCTTTTTTAAATCACTATTCCTTATCTTGATTCCTGTGTACACGTGGGTGGTTTGTTATTGGATTGTAGAATTTTATGTTAGACTTAATGAGCAGCAAACACCTGAGTACTTTGCAAATGAGCAATCACTGACTGTCTCATTTGCAGCCTTTACTTGTGAAAACAAAAACAAAAAACATGTTATCTTGATGTTATGTGTGTAATGGGAAGCACCAGTTTTACCGGGCGATGCTCCTTCCCAAACTGACTTTTGTCTGCACAGGTTATCTTCATATATGCTTCATTGCCATTGTCAGTAGACCAATTTTATCTCAGGATCAAATTAGCTAAGCTCTTAATCATTACTCTTAGTATTATAAAAGGCTCATAGAGCACAAGGTAGTAAATCATCTTAAATATGCAAATGATAATTCTGGTCTAGTGAGGTAATTATGGAACATAATCGTATTGGATTTCTTAATGATAATTTCCAAGCTACATGCAACAGCACATTCATTTAGATTAACATATTCAGAGCATCATCTATTTAACAGGAAGCATTCATGGACATTTAAAAAATTTTTTAATTATAATAATAATGATTATTTCACCATCTGTACCCATGGTACAGAAGATAGGAAAATAAATCTATTATAAATGTGGTTACTATGATACATTGCTGTTGAGTTGATTCCTATTTATGAAGATCCCATGTTCATCGGGATAGATCTATACTCTATAGCATCTTCAATGACTGAGTTTTCCAAAGTAGATCAGTAAGACTTTCTGTTGAGTATCACTGAGAGGATTCCAACAGTCAATCTTTTAGCTAGGAGTTCAGTGCTTAAGCATTTGTGCCACCCACAGACTTCCAACAATAACCCCAAATCAACCCTATTGCCACTGAGTCAATTCTGACTCCTAGCTACCGTATAAAATAGAATAGAACTTCTTCTTATATACTCTAACTGTTCGTGAGAGTGGACAACCTCATCTTTCTCCACTAGGTGGATTTGAACCAATAATCTCATAGTTAGCATCTCAGTACCAAACTCAAGATGCCACCGAGATCAGAACTGTATAAAGAAACAAATCCACTGCCATTAATTTGATTCTGACTCCTAGCAAATGCGTGTGTGTGTGTTCTAAACTCATTGCCATTAAGTTAATTTTGACTCAGAGACCCTGCATACGTCTCTATGTCGGAGCAGAGCTGCCCCTGTCGGATTCTGAGGCTTGAATTCTTACGGGGACGGAAAGACTCATCTCTCTACTGTGGAGCAGGTGGTGAGTTTAAGCTGCTGACCTTGTCGTCAGCAGCCACTACGGCACCAGGGCTCCTTTATGTATTCTTCTCTCACTCACTGCCATCTCGGTAATTCTGGTTCAGAGAAGCTCTTT